GGCTGACAATGTTTTTGAGAGTTTATTCGAATTAGTGAATGTGATCTTGAAAAGGTACTTCCTTTTACACCACCCAGAGACTGCATTAAATGCCCTCCATTGTGAATTCAGACCACAAAACTGGATAAAAAGAAAGCAGAGTATACACGTGAAATTAGCCTATATGCCCATTATCTCTGGGATTGAAAACTTGTTGGCGTAAGAAACATTGTCCCAAATGACATATGGTAAATTAATGTCTCAGCAGTATGGTTTTCACAGCCAATATGTCCACTGTCTTAATTGAGTACTTCTGTCCTCTACTGGTAGAGATGAAGTGCCTTAGTCAAATGCGGAGAGCACTTACGCTAATTGATTGTGGCCATAAATCTGCCACGCTGCAGCCAGCTTGTAGGAAACCACAAAACTGCTTTATTCACATAAATCTCCCTCTCCTTTTGTCCCATCCAATCCCTGTCCATTCATCAATGACACATTCATTTACATTTCAGAGATTCACAGTCTTTTTGATTAATTTATTTGGACCCACAGAATCAATGTACTTGTCAGAATATATCCAAAGGGGTTAAAAAAATCGTCCTTCGAATCATCAAATCAAAAATGGGTGCAGATCTTACCCAATGGAAAATGTGCAGTTGTGACCTTTGACCTCACAATAGACTAGCGCATCAATGGAGCCCAATTCTCCTCCTTCTCTTTAAAGTGTGCACTCGTTCACCCTCAAGTATTCAAACGCATTGGGTGGGTGTAAGAAATATTGTACAGAACGTCCGTCTACACACACTCCGTCCATACCAATCCAACCCCTTTAAGTCCGTGAGGAGGGGTGAACGAGGGCACACCTCAGGGAAAAGGGGTGAGAATCCAAATTGAGCAAAGCTCTATAGAAACTATGGATAAATGTGTAGGATTTACATCCAGTTAAGTATGTAGTGTGGAGCGTGCTCACAAGACTCCAAAGTGCTTGGCACCACCATGGACAGAAGAACACTGCATGGTTAGATCAAGCACAATGGGGTCCTGGGCAGGGATATACAGCCATCTGAGGTTATGTGGGGCCAGGTTCAGTCTGGTCAATTTAGGTGGGATGGTAGAGCAAAAAAAGTAGAATCCTGTAAAAAGTACATTTTGATCACTTCGATAGAGAAGGGCATGATTGGGGCCAGTCAGTCCATCAGGAGTGAATATTGTAATCAGCTCTAAAATCATGAAAGGAACACTCTGCCACCAGAATATGCTATTTCTTGATGCTTCGGTCTTCCAACAACTCTATTTGTGATCCGAGGACAACACCACAGCTCTACGGCATTGATAGCCCAGGAGGAGAAGTGGTGGATGTCCATTGGCATCAGGGAGGGTTGCAGACCTGGGGAGTGATGGACCCAAATGACATGGACTTACACACTATTGCGATAGGGGCAGTGTTCATAATACAGTGTGGCTAGGGACATCAAGAAAATTACAAAAAAGAATTAGTCATAGGTCACATTCACTGCAGTGAAAAGCGGGCACCGCCCTTCCTGCGCATAAACTGCGACAAACCCCTCCCTCCCATCCTTCGCACCCCACCCCATCAGATACCTTCGTACAAAAAAAGAATTAAACACATACATTTTTACAGTTTAACTCAGTTTTTTTTTTTTACATCAACATAATATGAACGAAAACAGACCAACATGAATAGTTTGTTAATGAAATTACTACTACGTTATGGGGAATCAATGAAAACCGAGTTTGGTGGAATGATGGTCATCTTGTTAAAGTGCATCAATATCTTCTAAAGAGGACAAGCTCTTAGGTCCTCCAGCTAATGGACAAAGAATATTCTCAATATCCAAGGACAAAGATGGAACAGCTTGGGAACAGCAGATACAGCCATATCACCAGTGTCCATCTGTAGAAATGTGCCATCTCTTCAGACCTGAGACTCAACCACTTTTGACATGATGGTCTAAACCTGGTTATCGGTCACTGGACTCAAAGTCAGCGGTCAGTCAGTATGAAATAATGCCCTCCACAGATGGAAAACTGATGATTTCTCTAAAAGACCTGTGAGGACAGCCCCCATCAGTGGGTTTGGAAATATTGTTACCTCCATTCTTTACTATATCCCCTGCGATATCTTGTTGAAATGGGAAGGGTTTCAGTGATAGTCAAGTTAAGCTCTGACAACTGAACCACTTTGTGTGATGAAATGAGAAAAGATTGCGTGCATGGGAGGGTGAATGACAACTTGTGTATAGAGCGATGAGCAATGGAGTTTCGGTAACAGACTAGTAGTGAAGATAAAAGGAAAAAATGGACTATGGAAGGTTGATGTGTCCAGGGAAAACAGCACTGCAAAGACACAGCTGTCCTTCTGGGTATTTGATTATGTTTCATGTGGACAAAGGTGGCGCGATGGTATTATATATTATGGTTGGTGGGATGGTGTCATGGTTTTTATGCATGGATAAGATTTCATACATGCTGTTGTTTTAACAATTTCAATTTCTCTGAGTGTCCTAAACTAAGGTCTTTCAAACTAAGCTATATTTTTCTAAACCATAAACCTCACAATGTATAGAATACACTGTATATGAGATGGGAGAAAGTTTAATTTGTCTCCCTTTGTCCACAGGACTTGCATAAACAATCATCTTTGTCCTCTTCCATTGAAGGCAAGGCTACAGAAAAACAGAAATCTTAAATAGCTGTAAACCCAGGGGTACTGTGGACCAAGGGTCATGGAAGCTGTCAGAGGATATCAAGACAATAGGCAAATATAAAACTAGAACATTCAGAATTTCAATATACCTCACCCGTTATACCTCACACGTCCATTATACCTCAGCCGTCTTTGAAGCACTTCAACTGGTGTCAGTGGAAAGTCACTCCCTCCAACCTGGTCTGTCCATGGAGACCCTCAGTCTCCATTCTTCCTGCCCCGGAGCCGATGGTGGGACATCCAGCTTGGTGGGGTAGAGTTGAGGGTCGTAAGGAAGAGCAGGTGCTCCTCTTGAGCTTGGTGTCTTGCCTCTAGGACCGGCAAGCTCAACTGGAGACAGACTGTCATGACTACGTCTCTTCCAACACCCCCCAAGCCGTACCCCCAGCCCCTCCTTCAAGTTAGGAGGGGTTAGTGATTTTCTCCTGGGATAGGTGGACTGGCGAGAAGGACTTGGGCAGGGTGGGCTTGTATGTGGTATGGGGAGTTTGGGGGTGGGGGGCCTGGTTCCGCATTTCATAAATATTAATACAGAGTCCTCCCCTCCGAAGGGGCAGATTAATTTCGTTAGAGGGGGAAGTGCTTTATTCACTTAATGGCTTTTATTAGTGGCCGGTCTTCAACTCTTTCATTAGCTAAAGTGCTGCTATAATTTACAGGGTGGAAGGGTGGGGGAGCGGCGCTGTCCCAAGGAGCGTCGCTCCTGCCGCTGTTGACCAGCCAGCCACTGCTCTGTCTAAACCTCTGCAGCTTTTCTCAGAAAGAGTGGCCATTCTGTCTCAAAGACTGAAAACTATCTCCAACATCGAATACACTCTAGATAAAGTCCTATTCATACAATTAGAGAGTTGTTACAGGAAGTGTTGAGGTCAAATGCTAGGGTTCCCCTTTTGTGGCAGATTTTTCCTGCACCTGAACAATTGAAAAGTATACTTCCTTGTAAATACATGTGTTATTGACTAGATCTGTTGTCATTGGATGCCTGTTATAAAAAATTAATTAAAGCGATATATTGATTGCTTTCATTTTAGAAATGCTACTTTATCTAAAAAATAAACAAAATAAGAACCAAACACGTGCAAACATTTCAATTCAAAAATGATATATTTTGTGTGAGCGATAAGGCTGTGTATAATAATGTATGCCTTGACAATATTGGTGTTCAGTTATAACATTACTCTGGCCAATATAGTAAAGGGCAGTGATCAATTCAAAATGCACTATTTGCTGACTAGGCCATGTCCATACCACCCTCCCTTACTCGCTGTACATCATAGACAGACATGCTAATGGATTCAGATGAAATGCTCCTCCCTAGAATGTGACATGTAGCTTTTATTTGGTTATAAAAAGCTATTTTGAAATCAGATTTGATCAGATGTGTCCTGTCCTGTGAAACATTGTGTGATCATTAACACATGGAGGAACTTTATTGAAAGTGTCCTGAGCAAATTCCCAAAGTGACCCTATCATGCTATCCATTTAATAATCCGCAAAAAAAAAAAAAAATCCTCGTCTTCGCAACTGCTAACGTGTGGCAACTGGAGAGTTCTCTGACACAAAATGGCTGATCCATCTCACACAGCTGGGTTGCTACACACCGGCATTAGATAATGTATACACACCAAAGTGCTTCAAGATCTGATGAAATGCTATTCACTAGTGGGTTATCTGTGTTTCTGAACAGATGGGGTAGAATGTCCCCAGACTGTGTCTAAGTGAATGAACTAATTAACCTGAATGACCATCCATGTTGGAGAGAGAAAAAAAAATCATAATAATGAGAGAGGGGGTGGGATGCCAGCCTGACTGACTGCCTGTATCATCAATGTCATATAAATCAGTGGCCGACAGGCCTTTCAAATAAAGCCTTAGTATTGGACACATTGAGACGGTCTCTGGGTAAGTAATGTTTAGTCCAGAGTGGTATACTACAAAGCAGGATAAAGGAGTTAGCCAGCTAACTTGCCTAAATATTCAAATAAAAATTTTATTTTGTAGAAAGATAAGCTTGAAATGGGCATGGTCTAATTGATTGAACAAACTAAAATACATAACTAAGTGGAGCTTTTTTCATGAACCATAAAATCAATAGTTATTTCTGGTTCCTTATCAAAGTTGCTGGCTAACTCATTGATTCTGCTTTGTAGAATACCCCTCTGGGGTATCGATTGACTTCCAGGGATGATGGAGCCAGCAAACACCCACTTTGTTTAAGGATGTATTTCATAAGAACAGTCAATCACCATTGAAAGTATAGAGAGATAAAGCAGGACACACCCATGTAACTGGGGCAGGATTTTGATTTATTTCATATGAAGGGAAATGTGAATGTTATGAAGTTATATTTGTCAGTGTTGTTCAACATAGTAATTACAATGCGTCTTTCAAGGCATAAACCCAATGACCTGTATTATGAGCTAAAATAAAAGACGATCCCGTAAGTCATTTTTATGGTGTTTATTTGATATTTTTGAGATTCAAGGCTAATACTCTTCGATGGATTTTATGAATCACGTGTCGGCATAAATGAGAGGTAAATGCAACATGGACATTCATATTTATTCTTTTCAGTTTTTCAAATTCCAAAATAAAATTGAGAACCACAAGACACAGATGCTCTCGTGGATATGTTTGAGGGGGGTTTTCATGAGCAGCAGACTATTCCCGGTGATGAGAAAATCATGCAGCGTCAGGAGTCCTTTTACTTTTTCACCAGCTGGATAACGTCCTCATCCTCCATGACATGGTCTTTTCCCACCTTCTGGGGGTTGTGCTTCACTGAAGCACCCCACACCAGAGCACTGAAAGGACAGGAAGACTGAGTGTTAGAACAATACCAAGCAGCTGAAACATTGAATCATATTTGTCTGTGTGCTGGACACAGCAGCTAAAGCTGCATTTAAACAGGCAGCCAAATTCTGATCTCTTTTTCACTAATTGGTCTTTTGACCAATCAGATCAGCTCTGATGTGATTGGTCAAAAGACCAATTAGAGGGAAAAATATGAGAATTGGGCTGCCTTTGTAAGCCCATGTGAATTTGTTAAGTATATATATATTTTTAAAGTACATTATTTCTTACTGATTGTGGCTTTAAATCGGTTAGATACTGGGGTATACCCCAGTCTTTTCATGAACATCAACAAGATGCACAAAAGCCATTAGTCAACAGTATAGTACTCACTATTTTAATTCTTTGAGGAGGCTTTTATGAATCTTCAAACAGAAGTCCTCTACTGTAGTATGTTCAGTAGGTAGAACGACTGGAGATGTGTAGTCAGGAAGCTGGCCTTTGGGTTTGGTGTATCTGGGGGACAACACATTCAAATGATTAATTCACAAAAACAACATTTATCCAAGCAGTCAAAAAATAGTTCTGTGTGTAATAGGGATTCTATTTCATAGAAGGTTCCAATAACCCTATATGTCCCTTCTAGGGGTTGGTAGGTTGAGAGAGTGTCTCCTTACATGCGCACTAAGTGCAGGTAGTCCCACATCTTCTCCAGTAGGTCGTCAAAGTTCCAGCGGGAGTGGGCAGAGATGGGAACACAGTGGGGCACCTTGTAGATGATGTCCAGCTCTTCAATGGATATCTGGTCAATTTTGTTGAGCACATAAATGCAGGGGATGTACACTCTGGTGAGATTAAACAGAAAAGTTATGTCAGCAGGTCTGTAGGGGAGCGTTGACCTTACTTTGGGATGGGGTATAGCGGGACTTTGGCTAGGGGGTATAGGTCAGATCCAATTATAGATTAATGGAGGATTAAGAAGAAAATAAAATCAATACAAAAATGACATCCGAGTTTGTAGAAGTGCTCAGCTGCTTACCGGTTTCCCTCCACCACGTCGATGAGGTCATCAGCCGTGGAGTCACTGCGCAGGGTGATGTCAGCGTTGTGGATCTTGTACTCGGCCAGGATGCTCTTCACTGCGTCACCATCCAGCTCACTCTGTGGACACTGGAGAAGGTGCCAGAAAGGAAGAACACCAGAGTAAGCCCATTGAAATCAAATGAGAGAGATAAAAGAACAATCTACTTCCAGAGATAGATAACTGTAAAGAGAGAGAGAAATAGGAACAGGTTGAGCTGGACATGAAAGTGTTTTATTAAACAGACGTACTGTGACGGTGAAGTTGATACCTCCTTTGTCCTTCTTCTTGTAGCCGATGTTGGGCGGCTTCTTGTTGAGGCGGATTCCGAAGCCCTCCAGCTCGTGTTCAATCAGCTTCTTGTGGCCCAGAGGCTTCAGCACATCCAACACTATGAGGATCAGGTTACAGGTTCGAGCCACTGGGAAAAGAAAGACCACAGTTACAAACTACCTTCAAGGTGTGAGTGTGACACATGTTGTTTGTGTATGGTTCTGATGGTTCACTGATGGCTCTCACCTGCGATGACCTGTCGTCCTCTGCCCTTGCCATCTTTGGCCCCCTCGATGATACCTGGGAGATCCAGGAGCTTGGATACACAAAAGTGGAATAAACATCCTAATACTGAAACATCTCCTGCAAAACATCTTAAAGAAAACACTAATTAAGTAAAAAATTACAAGTAGCAAAAATACAAATTATCACTACTAGTACATATTGTCCTCAAAGGAAAACTCCCCTCAAAAGCTATATGTTGGTATTTTTTTCATTAGTTCACTGTTGATACAGTCCCAAAATGTTTTGCACGTCAGCAGTCAAGTTTTCGAGATATTGGACTTTCAAGAAGCAGTGTCACTTGCCACATCATCATGATGATGTGGAAGTGACACTCTGTTTCTTGAAGTGCCACTTGCCACATCATCATCGTTTTGGAGTGGATTTTTCCTTTAAGGTGAGGTGTGAAGGGTATAAGATGCACATAAAGTACCTGTATTTTTGCACCCTTGTAGCGGATCACTCCTGGTACTGTGGTGAGGGTGGTGAACTCATAGGCTGCCACCTCTGAGTACACCCCTGCCAGGTTACTTAGCAAAGTAGACTTGCCCACCGAGGGGAACCCTACAAACCCGATACGGGCATCACCTGTTTTTGCCACATCAAAACCTATACAACAAAGGGTGACACATTAGTATTCATTACAATATGACAAGATCTTGTAAATCTCAACTTATCTCCACTGCACTGTTGTGTAGCTGGACACATTCTTAAGATGAATGATGATCACGAGTTAGGACTCACCTTCCCCTGTGCCTCCTCCACTGCCTCCCTTTGGTGTGATAAGTTCTCTCCTCATCTTGGCCAGACGAGCTTTGAGCAACCCCAAGTGGTTAGATGTGGCCTTGTTCTTCTGAGTCCGAGCCATCTACCCGACAGAGGATGTTTAAATCATTCATATTCAACACAATATGACAACAGCCAGAACTAGAATATTGACTAGGCCTACTTGTCCAGAGCTAAATTGTTGCGATGGCTGGCTTTCGAATGATCACAAAGAAAACATATTGTCATCATGACACCGACACTGGGGTGAATTACAATCTGTCAAAGCTGGTGAACTCCGGCGTGGTTCTATACATACCAGCGCCGGTTAGCATGATAGTAGTGCTTAACTAGCTAGTTAGCTACTTAACGTTAGCTAGTTAATTACCCTGCCAACAATAACATATAGCTAGCTACTTTACAGTAGCCAACTAGGGTGTCTGCCATCATATTATGGATATATTCTTTTTTTTAAGGAGAAATCCATTGTAAGGCCTTGATTAGCCAAGTTAAATTTAGCCAACTAGCTAGCCATCTAGTCAAGTGGCCACACAAAATGTGATTCACAACTAACGCGTTAGCTAGCATTCGCGACCGTTAGCTAACTTACCTCGGCCTCAATTTCTGCTATTTTGGCGAGTAAACTCATCTTGTAGCTGGTCCTTAGATGATATCACGATAACGATGAAACAAGTTTAATATCAAAGTTGTTAAATTGTTGAGTTTTATCACGCAAGCATACAAGACTAGCTAGCAACAGCTAGCACCCATGCTTTCAACCTGTGGCTGGGGTCTCGCGAGGAGGAAGAGGCAGGCAAACCAAAGAAACTCGACGGCAAACTCAGAAAAGGTGCTGCAGTTGGCGCCACCTACTGGAATGAAGTATTTTGCAGATTGCTGTTAGTTATCTGACATTTAAAAATACAAATACAAAAATACAAATAAAACAAGTAAGCTGAATGAAATATGTCGTGCAACAGCAATGACATAAATGTTGCAGAAATTATGCAATGTAACACATTTTAAATACAAGATTCATGCTTGGTTTTGACAAATCATAAATTAATGTATCTGACGCTGCATAATTCAACACAGTAAAAGGCTACTGCAAACAAACACACTCTCTCTCTCTCTCTCTCTCTCTCTCTCTCTCTCTCTCTCTCTCTCTCTCTCTCTCTCTCTCTCTCTCTCTCTCTCTCTCCTTTTCTGGATTTTGATAATTAGCGGGTATCGGCCTAATGCTGTTCTGCATGCATTATTTGGTGTTTTTCGTTGTACACGGACGATATTTTTGCAGAATTCTGCATGCAGAGTCTCAATTTAGTGTTTGTCCCATTTTGTGAATTCTTGGTTGGTGAGTGGACCCCAGACCTCACAACCATAAAGGGCAATGGGTTCTATAACTGATTCAAGTATTTTTAGCCAGATCGTAATTGGTATGTCGAATTTTATGTTCCTTTTGATGGCATAGAAGACCCTTCTTGCCTTGTCTCTCAGATCGTTCACAGTTTTGTGGAAGTTATCTGTGGCGCTGATGTTTAGGCCGAGGTATGTATAGTTTTTGTGTGCTCTAGGGCAACGGTGTCTAGATGGAATTTGTATTTGTGGTCCTGGCAACTGGAGCTTTTTTGGAACACCATTACCTGGGCCCTGATTTACTGTCAGGGCCCAGGTCTGACAGAATCTGTGCAGAAGATCTAGGTGCTGCTGTAGGCCCTACTTGGTTGGTGACAGAAGCACCAGATCATCAGCAAACAGTAGACATTTGACTTCAGATTCTAGTAGGGTGAGGCCGGGTGCTGCAGACTGTTCTAGTGCCCTCGCCAATTCGTCGATATATACAGTGGGGAGAACAAGTATTTGATACACTGCCGATTTTGCAGGTTTTCCTACTTACAAAGCATGTAGAGGTCTGTAATTTTTATCATAGGTACACTTCAACTGTGAGAGACGGAATCTAAAAATCCAGAAAATCACATTGTATGATTTTTAAGTAATTCATTTGCATTTTATTGCATGACATAAGTATTTGATACATCAGAAAAGCAGAACTTAATATTTGGTACAGAAACCTTTGTTTGCAATTACAGAGATCATACGTTTCCTGTAGGTCTTGACCAGGTTTGCACACACTGCAGCAGGGATTTTGGCCTACTCCTCCATACAGACCTTCTCCAGATCCTTCAGGTTTCGGGGCTGTCGCTGGGCAATAAGGACTTTCAGCTCCCTCCAAATATTTTTTATTGGGTTCAGGTCTGGAGACTGGCTAGGCCACTCCAGGACCTTGAGATGCTTCTTACGGAGCCACTCCTTAGTTGCCCTGGCTGTGTGTTTCGGGTCGTTGTCATGCTGGAAGACCCAGCTACGACCCATCTTCAATGCTCTTACTGAGGGAAGGAGGTTGTTGGCCAAGATCTCGCGATACATGGCCCCATCCATCCTCCCCTCAATACGGTGCAGTCGTCCTGTCCCCTTTGCAGAAAAGCATCCCCAAAGAATGATGTTTCCACCTCCATGCTTCACGGTTGGGATGGTGTTCTTGGGGTTGTACTTATCCTTCTTCTTCCTCCAAACACGGCGAGTGGAGTTTAGACCAAAAAGCTATATTTTTGTCTCATTAGACCACATTACCTTCTCCCATTCCTCCTCTGGATCATCCAGATGGTCATTGGCAAACTTCAGACGGGCCTGGACATGCGCTGGCTTGAGCAGGGGGACCTTGCGTGCGCTGCAGGATTTTAATCCATGACGGCGTAGTGTGTAACTAATGGTTTTCTTTGAGACTGTGGTCCCAGCTCTCTTCAGGTCATTGACCAGGTCCTGCCGTGTAGTTCTGGGCTGATCCCTCACCTTCCTCATGATCATTGATGCCCCACGAGGTGAGATCTTGCATGAAGTCCCAGACTGAGGGTGATTGACCGTCATCTTGAGCTTCTTCCATTTTCTAATAATTGCGCCAACAGTTGTTGCCTTCTCACCAAGCTGCTTGCCTATTGTCCTGTAGCCCATCCCAGCCTTGTGCAGGTCTAAAATTTTATCCCCGATGTCCTTACACAGCTCTCTGGTCTTGGCCATTGTGGAGAGGTTGGAGTCTGTTTGATTGAGTGTGTGGACAGGTGTCTTTTATACAGGTAACACGTTCAAACAGGTGCAGTTAATACATGTAATGAGTGGAGAACAGGAGGGCTTCTTAAAGAAAAACTAACATGTCTGTGAGAGCCGGAATTCTTACTGGTTGGTAGGTGATCAAATACTTATGTCATGCAATAAAATGCAAATTAATTACTTAAAAATCATACAATGTGATTTTCTGGATTTTTGTTTTAGATTCCGTCTCTCACAGTTGAAGTATACCTATGATAAAAATTACAGACCTCTACATGCTTTGTAAGTAGGAAAACCTGCAAAATCGGCAGTGTATCAAATACTTGTTCTCCCCACTGTATGTTGAAGAGGGTGCGGCTTAAACTGCATCCCTGTCTCACCCCACAGCCCTGTGGAAAGAAATGTGTGTGTTTTTTGCCAATTTTAATCACACACTTGTTGTTGGTGTACATGGATTTTATAATGTTGTATGTTTTTCCCCCAACCCCACTTTCCATCAATTTGTATAGCAGACCCTCATGCCAAATTGAGTCAAAAGCTTTTTTGAAATCAACAAAGCATGAGAAGTTTTTGCCTTTGTTTTGTTTTGTTTGTTTGTCGATTAGTGTGTGCAGGGTGAATATGTGGTCTGTCGTACAGTAATTTGGTAAAAAGCCAATTTGACATTTGCTCAGTACATTGTTTTCACTGAGGAAATTAACTAGTCTGCTGTTAATGATAATGCAGAGGATTTTCCCAAGGTTGCTGTTGACGCATATCCCACGGTAGTTATTGGGGTCAAATTTGTCTCCACTTTTGTGGATTGGGGTGATCAGTCCTTGGTTCCAAATATTGGGGAAGATGCCAGAGCTAAGGATGATGTTAAAGAGGTTAAGTATAGCCAATTGGAATTTGTGGTCTGTATATTTTATCATTTCATTGAGGATACCATTAACACCACAGGCCTTTTTGGGTTGGAGGGTTTGTATTTGTCCTGTAGTTCTGTCACGATCGTTACAGGAAGCGGACCAAGGCGCAGCGTGGTAAGCGTACATACTTTTATTGCAGTACACAACACGAACCAAAACAACAAAACAAACGATACGTGAAGTCCTAGGTCATAACACAAACCTTACGGAACAAGATCCCACAATAAACTGTGCCAAACAGGCTGCCTAAGTATGGTCCCCAATCAGAGACAACAAGCTACAGCTGCCTCTGATTGGGAACCACCCTGGCCAACATAGATATACACGAACTAGAACACAACATAGAAAACTATAACATAGAAAAATCCACATCAGTGACAGTACCCCCCCCAAAGGCGCGGACTGCGACCGCGCCACACAAACACAAGAGGGTAGGGCCGGGTGGGAATTCCACCTCGGAGGCGGATCCGGCTCCGGGCGTGACCACCCCTCTATCTCTACTTCCCTGTAGCGCCCCTGGTCTGGACCGGCCCCGCTGGCCGGAGCTGGACTGAACACCGGTGGAGCGGATTGCTCTGGCTCCGGCGTGGAGCAGCTGACCGGTGCCGGACCAGACACCGGTGGAACAGGCACGGACCGTGCCGGGCTGACGACGCGCACCACTGGCTTGGTGCGGGGAGCAGGAACGGGCCGGACCGGGCTGACGACGCGCACCACTGGCTTGGTGCGGGGAGCAGGAACGGACCGGACCAGGCTGACGACGCGCACCATTGGCTTGGTGCGGGGAGCAGGAACAGGCCGGACCGGGCTGGCGACGCACACCACTGGCTTGGTGCGGGGAGCAGGAACGGGCCGGATCGGGCTGACGACGCGCACCACTGGCTTGGTGCGGGGAGAAGGAACGGGCCGGACCGGACTGACGACGCGCACCATTGGCTTGGTGCGGGGAGCAGGAACAGGTCGGACCGGGCTGGCGACGCGCACCACTGGCTTGGTGCGGGGAGCAGGAACGGGCCGGACCGGGCTGACGACGCGCACCATTGGCTTGGTGCGGGGAGCAGGAACGGGCCGGACCGGGCTGGCGACGCGCACCACTGGCTTGGTGCGGGGAGCAGGAACGGGCCAGACCGGGCTGACGACGCGCACCATTGGCTTGGTGCGGGGAGCAGGAACGGGCCGGACCGGGCTAGCGACGCGCACCACTGGCTTGGTGCGGGGAGCAGGAACGGGCCGGACCGGGCTGACGACGCGCACCACTGGCTTAGTGCGGGGAGCAGGAACGGGCCGGACCGGGCTGGCGACGCGCACCACAGGCTTAGTGCGGGGAGCAGGAACGGGCCTGACCGTACTGGGAACACACACCACTGGCCTTGTGCGGGAATCAGGAACGGGCCGGACCGGACTGGTGACACACACCACTTGCTTGGTGCGAGGAGCGGGACTGGGTTTCCTCATAAACCTCCGCTCCCTCTGCTGCCTACTCAGTTCCTCTCGCCGTGCCTCCACACTCTCCTTCTCCCTCGTGACCAGTGGCCCCCGTAACCTAGCGGCCTCCTCTGCTAACTGGCTGAACCGCTCTATCGCGGCCTCCTGCTGCCTCGTCGTCCACGGCGTGAGCCCCCCCCTAAATTTTGTTTGGGCTTGTCTCTCCCCCGTGCTCATGGCCTCCATCCCTCTTGCCAGACTCTCACTCATCTCCTCCCAGGTCCATCCTCTCTCCTCGTCACGCTGCTTGATCCAGTTGAAGTGGGATCTTCTGTCACGATCGTTACAGGAAGCGGACCAAGGCGCAGCGTGGT